CAGAGACCGGCAGGGAGCCAGCCTTATCTCTGCTGTCCCAAGCCGCCTCTCCCTTCCTTATCCTTTTACCTGCCCCTCTGCTCTCTTTGGGATCGCCCACAAAGGGGCTGGGGGATGATGCTGGAGGCCAGGGCCCCCAGACACGGCCAGGAAGCTGCAGCCAGCGTGGGTGAGCTGGGGTCTCGGGGAGGCCCAGAGCTCCTCCAGAAACCTCTGTGGAGATGGGCACGCTGGCCTGGACTCCCATGCCAGGCTTGTCCCCGCTCGCCCAGCGGCCCCGGCTGGATGCTGGGAGGAGGTGCTCAGCCTGAGAGAACTGGGAGGTTGCCCCTACCTCCTGGGCCGCTCTCCTGCAGCACCCAAGAACTCTCCCCGCTGTGCTGAGACAGGAGTGGGACATGTCTGCAAGCCCAGGAGGGAGGGAGTGGGCTTGGCTGTGTGGTTGTTGGCAGGGGCAGGGGCAGGGGCAGGGCACGTGGGGCGGGAGGCCACACCCGGCAGCCCAGGGACCTGTGGCCTCACCAGGAAGCCCGCCTCCCAGACTGCTTGTAAGTTTCTGCAGAATACCACCTGCACAGAAAGCTGCTGGTCACTCTCCAACCCCAGAGCCGTGAAGGCATGGCCTGCACGTCGCAGAGTCACCCTCTGCTCTGCCCTGTCCTGTCAGGGCCTGGCTCCGTGTGGCGGCAGGGCTGCTCATGGCAACCCTAGTTTCTACCCAGCAGCTCTAGCAAGGCGCCCCGATGGGAGAGCATCACTAGCGCAGGGCAGCTGGTGAGCTCTAAGGTCTGAGCGAGCCATGGTCAGGAAAGGGAACGTGTCCCTCCTGTACCAGTGACCCTGCCCTGAGCTGGCACTGCTGCCCGTGCAGAAGCTGCCTGGCTGGCTCCGTGGTGTTTCTGCTGTTGCTGTTGTTTGATTCATCACAGTTGCTTATGAAGCCCCGTGATGGGCTGAGCATCTGCAGCCCTGCACTCAGTGCCAGCTGTGCCCTGGTGGCTCTCCTAGCTCACTGTGCCCTGTCCCCACCCAGGGCATCCCACTACCAGCGCTGTGCGGCCGAAGTCCCGGGCACCAGCTGTGCAACACGGAGGGGCAGGGGCTCTGGATGCCCCCAGGCCCTGGACAGCCAGGATGAGGTGAACCAGGCACATCAGTGCCTGTGACAGGCGAGCCCCTCCTGGGGCCGTGCTGGGGAGGGGACCCAGAGCCAGCAAGGCGGCCCTGCGCTCTGCCTGCCTCGTGATCACCTGACCAGGGTGTGATCACCTCCCCACCATGCACAGAGCTCACATGCAGCTTATAAAGGCAAAAGGGCATTTTACGTGCAATTAAAAAGAAAAGCATTATGTCTAAAACACTGTCAGCCCAACACAGGAACCTCTTTCATTGGTATTCAGCTGTCTGTCTGCTCCTCACATGGGGTCAAAGCAGACTCTGCCTTCCTGGCCACATCCCGGGAGGTCCTTCTGCCTCCAGGTGGCACCTCGAGGGCAGTGTCCTCACCATGTGGTACGAGGGACAGAAGACCAAAGGCCAGAGAGGGTGGGAGATGCTCCCCGAGTGTGGGATGCTCCCACTTACAGGGAGGGGCCCTCATGAGGGAAGTACCTCCTAAGACATCACCTCTTTTGTGGCTCTAAGGAGTGAACCCACGGCCTTTGTACTGAGCTACACTCCCAGTCCTCTTTATATTTTGAGACAGCATCTTGCCAGTTTGCTCAGGCTGGACTCAAATTTGCCATCCTCCTGCCTCAGCTTCCTGGAGTGCTGGGATTACAGTCGTGCACCATCCTACTCAGCTGATGTCTCCTCTTAACAACCATCACACCTCCAGTTATGGTTTGGATAAAAATGGGGTCCCAAAAGTCTCCTGTGTTCAGAGCTGGTGCTCTCCAGAGGCGACTGGATCCTGGGCTTCTGGTAAGGTCACAGCTAAGTCCCTGGCCCCACCACCTCACTTCTCTCTCTGCTTCTGGCTGCCCTGGGCTTGGGGAGCAGCTTTCCTCCACCACGCCCTCTGCTATGCCGTTTCTGCTGTGGAGCCAGCTGGCCATGAACTGCAGCCCCTGAAACCGTGAGCCAGATAAACCTCTCCTGCCTTGAGCTCCGATGTCAGGTACTTACCCCAGCCTCAGGAAACTGGACAACACAACTACTAAGTTTCAACTATGGATGTTAGGACACATTCAGACGCCAGTACCTTACTCGTGTGTTCAACTTGGTAAGCTGACAAAGGGAATACACCCATTTTACAGAGTGCTTCCCAAGTCACTTTCATTACCCTCCGAAGTTCTTACCTGCCATTTCTCAGTCATTCTCCCGAAAGCAAACCGTACTTGGCTCCTTCGGTCAGAGGTCAGCGTGGCTCATCCTGGGATTTCATCTGCCACGTGTGCTGCTTTCACCCTCCGCATGCAGGTGTCTGGCAGACACACGGTCATTGCTGGAGTGTGGCCCCGGTCACTTGGAGCTGCTCCACTGCTCCTAAGGCCTTCACGTGCAGTGAACCCGTGGTTCTCAGTTTTGAACTACTGGAGCCGTGCTGCACTGCCTGAACTGTTACAAATGAGGAATTCTTGCAGCGTCCCCTGGGGGCCATGCCTCCTCTACCGTGGTAATGCTGAGAGGTGCTCAGGGGCAGTGCCATTCGCCTACCTGAGAGGCTGCACTTCCTAGCCTCCACTACAGCATGGTGGACCAAGCCCCGCTCCCTATGACGCTTGCTGCTTGTGGAGCTTGTACATTTTGATGAAGGACATTAAATCATTTCCAAATGGTAGTGCATTGTATGGCCTATCTGAAAATCAATGAGATCTTTTTTATATTTCCTTCCAGAAATTTTATAGTTTACTTCTGACAGTTATGTCTCGGATCCATCTCAAACTCCTGAATTCCATTTTTAATTCTAATAGTTTACTTGTACATTACTTTGGGTTTTCTGCATGTACAACCACACCGTCTGTGAATAATCCGTTTCCCACCTCTCAACTCTTGCATCTTGTTTGTCTTGTCTGTAGCTTGATTAGATGTCAGCAGATGCTGAAGAGCAGGGGTCACGGCAGGTTGTAACACTCTCCGGACCTGAGGGAGCCAGCGCAAAGGCCCCCTCCTGGCGGGACCCACCTTTGCATTGGTGACTGTGTGGAGACTATTTACCAAAATAGACAACAGGGGATCATGAAGCGAGTCGGGGCAGATTTTAAAAGACTGAAACCATATAGAGCATATTCTTGGGCCACAGTGAGCTAAACTTTATTTATAATGAAAAGTGGAAAATCCCTAAATATTTGATAATGAACCCTAGTTCCCTAATAACCCACAGACCACAGAAGGAATCACAGTGGAAAATCCCAGCTTTCCCATTTCGGGGCTTGCAAAGGGGTGTCCTGTCTGCAGAGTCCCCAGCTGATGCCCAGGACGCAGCCCCTGAAGTCCTCTCCGCCCGGGCCCTGCCCCGCGGGGCTCCTGGCCCTGAGAACTGGAGCTGCTGGCAGCCAGGGGGGCATGTTCCACACGGTGCCCTTCCCTCTGACCTCTGGTCTACTTGGTCAGAAAACAGCATCAGGACATTCTTGTGTGGTGGACAGCACTAATGCAGTTGACCATTTCAGCTCTGGTGACCAGGACAGTTCATCATCTGTGCAGAAGGCCTTGGATAAGGTACTGGAAGAACCCCAGGAACAGAAAACTGGAGTAAGTTTTCTAATCTCAGGTGCTGAGAAGGAGATGCCTTTTTCAGTCCATTCGTGCTAAGGTATTTTCAGTGTGCTGTAAGACAGGTCCCACTCGTATTTAGAAATAATTTGTCCACTCCAACAAAATTAACAAATGTTACTAACAAGATCATCTATCATTTGATTCCCAACCATTCTACTTTTTTTGGACAGTTTCCCATCAGACTTTATCACATTTATCATAGAGAACCAAGACCTGTACCCTCCCCAACCCCTCATTCTAGTCTTTATGTTACGGTTTTTAGAGTATCACTTTGCAAGGACGTAACACTGCGGAGCGCGGGAGTATTAGCGGTACTTCGGTTCAAATTAATTTTGTGACATCCAGTTTGCTAGGAGCTTTGTACTTCGGTAGGTGAGCAGGGCCCCAGCGGCGCGCCTGGCGCTCGGACCTCCAGACCAGCCGACCTGTAAGACCTGCGAGGTCCGCGGAGGCAAGGCTCAGGGAGCTGCATTCTCAACACCGCTGCGGGCGGCGGCCCGGCTGAGCACCTGGCGGTCTCCAGCGGGCCTGCGATGAAGCATGCTTTTGTCTCCGCGCCTTCCTGCAGCGGGACTCGCCATAGTTCGCTCTCGTTTTGAAGTTACAAAGCGAACGCGTGCGCCTGGCACAGCGCTCCACCGGAGGGAGGGGACTTGCGCGAGTTTTCACAGCAGGTCCGCGGGGCCGGCCCCAGGGCAGCGCGGCCCACCGCTCCGGGCGCGGAGCCGC